GAAATAAAAAACTATTTACTGAAAATAATCATTTTTGAAATTATGCACAAATCTGGCTTTACTTTAAACACACTTACATGTGTTGAAATATGTATTTCAGTCTTAAAGAGTGACTTGATGTCCTTACAGGTCTATGTCGCCCTCTTGTGGTGACTTTTGATATTGTGAAAACTGTAATATTACAGTATGTTCATAGATAAAATCCAGAATGAGTCCTGCTATGACAGATTCAAAATTAAAAATACTGTTGTTTATTGAGGAAGTGTTTTTTTCTGATTTAAAATGACAGAGGCACCAGAAAGCAGATAGTAGAACAAATGGTTCTAAAATATGGGGTATCATCTGATAGAAAATAAAAAAATCTAAGTCAAGAGCTTGTTAAGGCCTGTTTTCTTAATCAATGTAAAGGCTTCTACTGCCTTTACAGGGATTTTTTAACTAAATGCTTTTTACATGTTTTCCACTTAAAATCTGATTTCATGTATTACAATAAACTCCAACTTTATAAAGTGCTCTTTGTAATCAGCCTAATATTTATCTCCTTCATCACATTCTCTTTTGAATCCAAGTTGGGAAATCCAGGAATGTGATGTTCTAACGTAGATGAAGTGAGTAAAGCAAACTTCGCTCACACTGAAGTCTGACTAGCTGATGGTTCCAAGAATATTCTTTGCAAAATTATTTAGGTAAAACAATAGCTATAAACTGAGAGGGTATCCTTCCTTTTCTTCTGCTGAATTTTGAAATAGTATTAGTCCCCTTTAAGTATTTACTCCCAACTCCACTCATTTAATAGCAGGAGTGAATCCACTATGGAGGAATATAAAAAAACAAATTTAAAGTGAACATGAGAGTAGAACTAGACTTTAGGTCTTTAATGTATGTGCTCACTAGGCTTTGCCCCTCCCGCCCAGAAGGGAGAGGCAAAGCCTGATGTGTTATCAGTCAAAGAAATTTGTGTCGCCACACAGGTGTTAACTTTTTTAACCAGCTGTTTTGTTTTTTTTGTTTCTGCATCTATATATTTTTCTAAGGTCCAAATTTGTTTGACCAATTTTTTTTCTATAACGCTTTTGCTGCAGTAAACACCAGAATGTCCCCATTGTGGGACAATAAAGGGATTTTCTATTCTACTCTATTTAAGTTTTTGAGCACCAAAAAAGAGCAGTGTATTTGAGTCCTTCATCTCCCCCACATTTTCAGTTCATAAAAAAAAAAAACTACAGACTTTAAGTTCATATTAAGCTTCTTCAATCATCCAGGCCTCAGTTGAAATGTCTGATTATATTTAGATGTATTTTGTTTAATAAACAGTAAAAAATGCTTCTTTTTTTTTTTTTTTTTTACCTGTGATGAAGTCGCTTTGATTATCAGAGTAAATAGAGATGACATTCAGTGGTTTATAGGACACATTTAGACAAAGCATGATGTTAGAGGCAACATAAACCATTTATTTCTCCAATGTACTGTACACTGTCACAGTTTACATCACAGTTTTAAAAGTAAATACACAGCAAAATAAATAGATTTCATACAAAATAAAATGTAAAAATCCCAAAGACTAACGGCCACGCAGCCAAAAATCCCAAGTTTGAACAGAGGTTGGACTTTTTTTCTCTGTGCTGTTTGAGTCTCAGTGAGAACAGCTCAAACATCTTCACCATGATGTCAAGGGTTTACAAACCTTCACGTATTTAGGATGACTGAGAGAAGATCAAGAGAACATCCACCAGATTTCGTTCTATCTAAATTTTCTTCAGACTATAATAGTGCAGTTGAAATAAATAATAATCTGCTACCAGCATGGCTCAGTTCAGCTGAAGCTTTAAGCACTCAGTCCTCTCACCTTCTACTGTTCCCTCATCAGAGGTTAAAGCAGCTCCATGTCGCTGGCCTCAACTTCATAAACTGAGATCACTTTAAACATGTTTTAATTACATACTTTTTCACTCACACACTAATAATGAAAAGGCAAAACTCACTCTTACACACACGTAAATATATTTATCTATGATAGGATGTTGTGCTCAGAGTTCATGCATGTAACAGAAAGCAATAGGATCAAATTCAGCTTTTAATTAAGAAACCGAAGCGATCATTATTCCTCTACTGTTGGGACATACAGAGCAGGCATGTTCCACTATACAGCATAGGAAACAGGATGAAGCCACAGTCAGAAAACTGGATTTTGAACCAGCAAACTGTCATCAGTTCACCTGATTTGTTTTTTGTTGGAGGCCACTCACTTGCAACTGTAACTGATGAAGCTTAAATTAATAATTAGATCCATAAATACTTCGTCTTGATTGTAACACTTTGATTTACAGTATATTTCAAGGTTTAGGAGTAATTACATCCACTATCATTATTTACATCAGCACAATATATATTGATATAGAACTATATACTCCCCCCCACCCACTAACCCACCCACACACGCAGCCACACACACACCAGGTCGGAGCACACTTAAAGAAAACAAATATATTTCTTTTGACGATGGAATCACATAGATGTTTCCCCAAACAAACTGAAAAGTTTTCTTTCTCAGACTCAGAAATCCTATAAATATTAATGTCATTCTTGTCAATTTAAGGAAATAATATGCTCGTTATTTTTTTAATAATCAGCTGAAATACGCAGGTTTTACATTTTTGACATTGAAAGGAAATCACAGCATGTTAAATATGATTTAAATGAAGGATTATTTCTCAATTCATAAGGAGAACCTGAACATTGTTCATGTTGAACCATTAAGATCATTTTCAGGCACAGATGGAAACAGGCCTTAAACACAACATCTATGAATAGTTATGAAAATAAAAACTGGATGTCATGACCTGTCAATCAAATTTTAGGGGCCGTTTAAGTGACTGTTCTTGATCTTTAATAGGAATAAAGTTTGACTCAGTGGAAGAATCAGTAAAATGTTAAATCAGAAATGGATTGGTGCTGTTGGTGATTGTTTTATTTGAATCATTGCATATGATGTCTTCGTTTCTTGTCTGTGGCGAAACACTTAAAAATGGATTTACATCTGCTGCATTTGCTCCAAACAAACCAGCTGGAGCATCTCCTGTTCCCATGATATTCCCCACCGTATATTCAGAACCCAACATTCCCACTCCCCTTTGCATGGCAGGCGGCTCTGTTCCAGGTTTTGGAGCGTCCTGAGCTGCATGCAGAATATCCAGAGAAGAACAAGGCATTCCCCGAGAATGCATGGGCTCCATGAACCAGAGAGTTTCATCAGAGCGACCTGCAGCTCTGACAGCAGGATGAACTGCACCATCAGTCGGTGCTGAACTCCAACCAAATGGATTATAGTTTGGGGCTAAAGTTTGAGCCAAAGCCCCTGATCCGACCAAGGGACCAGATGTCATGTCTTTGAATGCGCCTGGGAAAGGAGTGTAAGTGATAAGAGGAGGCGGGGGGAGCGGGGAGGGTTCGAAACATTCCAGCCAAGAGAAAGTGCACCAAAGCAGAGCAGGGAGAGGGATGAAAACATGTTGGTAAGTTACTGAATGCTACTTCCTATAGAGGGTGACTTTACAGAAGGACTATAACACACACATTATGTTACATAGCCTACATCTATATGCAACAGCAAGACCACATAGAAGGGGTGGGTTGGTACAAAATGATCAGAATAAACGTTCCAATATAAACACATTGATAACTGTTAGTCAGTCACACAATCTCAGCTCCATTCTCTAAACAGAAACAAAAATGTTTTGGTTCCCAGTTAAATGAATTACGTCTTCTTTATAATCAAGTGATCTGCACATAATCCGTGCAAAGGCTGAGTCTCTAAGAGTGTTTGTGATCCAGAGCTCTGGCTTTTGTCTGACCTTACCGATGGCTTGTTTTCGAGCAGTGAGCATGTTGGGGAGAGGCTGTTGTTTGGGTTGGGGGTTCAGAGTGAACAGATTATCTAAGTCCACCAGTGATGCCCCCGTAGAGCCCAAAAATGAAGCAGTCTTTCTTCGAAACTCTTCCTCTTTCGTGGTTTTCTTACCTGAAATAAAATAAAGGTCCAATGCTACTCTAAAAGGTGTTTTCTTTAGGGGGCAGGCCAGAGGGGAAGAGAGAGCAAAGTGGAAGAAAGGGTTAATTGATTGTTAGCTGCTCGATGCCTAATCATAGATGATGTGAAGTAGAAGGATTAAAGGAAACAAGGTTTTGCATGCAAAATTATTTTTCTTTTTGTGATCATACGATCACAGAATAATAGTTTCAAACACAAATAAAGACAGAAATAAAAGCAGAAATCATGCATGGATTTTAGTGGATGGCTTAGACGTGGGTCAATCTAATCAAAACAAAACAACTTTAAGGTTATTTTAAAAGCAGACAATCAAGCTTTGCTTTAATGAAATTGATGGACACAGAAATAGATACATAAAGCAGCCATACTTTACCTGCACCATTGCCACCTGTGTTGCTCGGTGCACCCCAAGGATCGTTGTTTTTAGATGCCCCGTCCCCAAACGGGTCGCTGGATGGGGAGGAGTCTGAGGGACGAGCAGGTGTTCCCCACGCATCATCTGATGCTACTGGAGCTGAAGCTAAAGAGGTCAATGAACAGAAGCAGAGGTTTAAAACTAAAGCAAACTATATTATAAATGAATGGTAAATAAATTAATTGTATACCGGTTTCTCAAGGTACAGAATGTAAGTATATAAACTGGTCCTAGAAATATCGTTTTGATTTTTGTTGGCAATTTTTTTATTGAGTCAGATGGACTGATTTAGAGATTGGCAACCATATAAAACACAAACTTCTATCCGACCCTGGATTTAATCAACAGTACAAATTCACAGACAATAAACAGATAGCTTCTCAGAGCTGTGTGTTCATTAGATAAGATTCAGTGAAAGATACCAAGTGGTTTTCAATAAAGCAGTTACAATATAATACCTGTCTGCAGCAGGAAGGATAACCATGTAATGCTACTCAGAAGTTATGAATATGAATGCAAGGAGAACTTAATTACGTGTGCCACAAAGCAAAGGAAAACTCTGAACCTCTCTAAAAATGGTCAGTTCTTACCCCCCAAAAAACCACAAAACCTTAGAGATGCACATATTCTGGTTATGGAAATAGTTCAGCTATGATTAAAAGAGAAGACAGGATTTGCTGATTGAGGATAAAAATTTGAAAACCCAGGTAGGTTGCTAGATGCTTCAGTTTTCTCACAAAGTCCAAACAGATGCATGTTTGCTTCAGTGTGATTTTCCAAATGTGTTCGTTAGTCAGCATTGCATTACTTTCTGTGAGGCAGGCCACCTGTTCCCCTCCTGTTGTAATGGACTCAGTTTGAGCTCAATAAAATATGAATAGAGAATGTCGGACATTCAAATTAAATTTAATTTAAATTTTCAAGTTATAATTAGTATAATTATCTTCTCAATATCTTTCTTAATATCACAAAAGTTGACAGCAAGTCCAATGGAATGGCCTACTGGACCCGTTAAGTTGCAATAGTGGGTTACTACAGCAGCTGTTATGCAAAAGAATTTAATTTCATGTCAATTTGCCTAAATCACAGAAGCTTTGCAGAAAAGGTTTATAAATAATAAACTATCTAATATGTCATAACGTTACCCCAAAGCCTGTGAATGAGCTATAAATGTCATGATTTTGGCACTGATGGCTGGCTTGATTGCTCATTTCATTCACCTGTCTAGCTTTGCTCTGTTTCTCATCACTGCTTATCTGATCCACCTACTCCTGCCTCTATTTAAGCTGCAAGGTGCCAGCCATCAGTGCCAGATTATTCTTGATCCTTTGGTTTTGAGAGTTTTCGAGGGTTACTTGTAATGTTCTGTTCTGATCATAACCTGTCTCTGTATTTGGAACTTTGAGCCTGCCTGCCCCTGTATGATCTGTTGGCATGACCTGTCATTAGACTCCTTTTGGATTCTTCTGTGGACTGAACCTGGATCTGCCTCTTGACCTCACCCTGTGGATTATCATGTCTTTCTTTGTCTGCTTGGGTCTAATCTCCTGTCAGTTCTGCACCCTTCTAGGTTTCCGCATCTGGAACACTCTTGCTGCGTCCGCCACGCCTTGTCAGCCGACCGGCTGGAATTCTCCTTGTTCTCTGGGCACGGACTGAACTGTCAAACTAGGTTAGTGACTCACGCATGTGTAATCATCCTCCGTCAGATTATCGTGGTCACTAACCTGTGTTTCCCCCCTAGAGACATTCCTGTGATAGATGCCCAAGCCGCTGCTTCTGCAGACCCACAGACAGTGTTTTCCCACTGTCTGTCTTGCGTAAATTTTCGGTCCTCTGTTCTGAGCCTTGACAATGAATTTGAATCACATGTTTTGGAGATGTTCCCACTCATTTCTGTACCCACTACATTCATCCAAAGAGCACAGAAATAATGGTAACACACAAAACAGATAGAAAGGAAAAATGATATAAGATGCAAAAACAACTGCGGGCTTAAATCAAGCTGCTTTTGTCTTTTTATCATGTTTTTCATGTGTTAAAATCATTTATGTACTGTATTTACAGCGTTCTCTTACTTTATTTTTATTACTTTATTTTTAAAAGATTTTTATGGCCTTTATCTTTAGTTATTTTTGAAAGTAGAAAGACAGGAAATGGGAGTAAGAGGGGCAAGATACATTGGCAAAGGTCACCAGGTTGCTCAAATGGCTGGGTAAAAAGGACCAAAGCCTCTGTAAATGGGTTGCCTGCTTAACCCCTGGGCCACCGGCGGTCCAGTGGCCTCCTCTATTTACTTTGGATTCTTTTCCGCATGTGTTAGTGTGTTAACCTTTTTTTGTGTTTGCTGTGGGTTAATATTTGAAGCATGTTTGCATCTCCCGGCCAGCGTATTGTTCACATGAGTAGATAGCTTTTAAACCACAGCATTATTAACCAGTATGAGGCGCCAGTGAAAACTATATTTCTGAGATCACACTTAGGTTTTTAATTGACCCAGGACCTCATTTTGGAGCAGGGCCTAGGGTAGGGGTTTGGCAGTGAGCGCCTGGGACCTGCCTGGGCTGCGCCAGATTACCAGACATGAGGTGTATTCCAGTAGGCCCACTACCTGCAGGGAGAGCCATTAAGGACAACGCTAGGCGGATTGAACAGTAGTCAGAAGCAAAGGTCCTTGAGATAGGCTGTGCAATGGAATTGCCCAAGGGAAGAGACAAAGAGGTGATGGATGATCTAAAGAAGGAACCTAGTAGGTCTGTGGGGGTCCTGAGACAGTAAACGGGTAAAAACTTGGTCCTGGGTGGAGTTCAGAGGGACCTTGGAGAAAGACTATTGGTCTGCCTCAAAGTGATTTTGGCAAACTGTCAGGTGTTTCTGGAGTGGGAAGTAATGCCTTCCTCAAACTGTTTGCAGTGGGTATAAGAAGCTGTTGAACGAGGACATTGTCGGACATGAGGATCTCCTCCAGCTATCAAATCTTCCCTGGTGGAAGTAGAGACTGGGTTCCATTTCATTAGCCAGGCTGGTTACAGAGAAAGTAAAAACACTCCACAGTGACGGCCATTCAGAGGGTGAATGAGCTCTGCTATGAGTTCCTCAAGTCTCTGGATGTTGTTAGGCTGTTGTGGTTGACATGCCCAATCAACTTAATTTGGCGCCCAGGGACAGTGCCCCTGGACTGTGTTGCCCCCCCTCTCAAGAAGGGAGACCTGACAGTGCGATCACTCTCACACCTCTCAGCCTGGGAAAGCCTACGCCAGTGAGCTGGAGAGAAGAGACTGGCTGACGATCAACCCCGGGGGCATCAGGAGGAGCAATGTGACCATGGAACACTGGACCAGCTCTGCACCCTTTGCAGCTTGCATTAGAGTTAATGGGAGTTTGCCCCAGTGATCCCCATTTGCTTCATGGACCATGTCAATTATGGTGCCCTATAGTGAGCGTTCCAGGAGTATGGAGGAAGGGGGTCTTTATTAGAGACCATCTGGTCGCTGTATGACTATATTACCGGCATTAAGTCTATATGTTTGACTCCAGCTCTCCTACAGTCAGAGGGGAACTCCTACCTCAGGTGGAGGGGTTAGGGTATCTTAGGGTGCTGTTCAAGAGTGTGGGGAAATGGAGTTTGGGATCAACAAACAGATCTGTTGGGCTGCTGCTGGAATGCGGACGTTGCTCCAGTCTGTAGTGGTTTAAGAGACTTTCAAAGGAAAAGGCAAAGCTCTCAATTTACTGTTCAATCTAGAATCCTACCCTCACCTGTTGTCCTCAAATCTGACACAAAAAACATGCTCCGGGATCCTCCACATCTAGAGGAATCAGCTGTTACGTCTCTTACATCTATATTAGATGTCTCCTGGGCACCTCCCTTGGGAGATGTTCTGGACATTTAGGGGAGCCTCAGGTTTTCCCTACATGAGCTGGAAGAGGTATCTGGGGAGAGGAAGTCTGGGGGTCTTTGCTGAGACTGCTACCCACGACTTAGTCTCATATAAGACAGTTACGAAATTATTAGATTGCTAGGTTTGAAAAACGTCATGATAGCTCACAAATTTATTTAATAGTTTCTTACCTGGAGCTCCCCATGGGTCATCATCTGGTTTGGATGGATCTGCAAATGGGTCTGAATCACCAAGTGATAATGAGACACTAGGGCCGCCCCCCCAGGGATCGCCACCCTTTGTTTCCTTTGAAACACTTGGTTCCCCCCAAGCATCAGAGCCTGTGGCAGGTGGAGAACTGGTCTGAGCTCCCCATGTATCTACAGTTTCTTGGGGGGATCCCAAAATAGGGGCACTGAAGGGGTCTGAAGCAGCTTCTATTGGTGGACTACATGGCACTGTAAATGGATCCTCCTTTGATGGTGCTGATGAAGCTGTAACAGGGGCATCTTTTGTATCTGTTGTAGAAAAAGGGTCCTCTTTATTTGGTGTTGTTGGTGATGCAAAAGGATCGTTTTGAACAGAATTAGTCGGTGATGAAAACGCGGCTTTAGGTGGTGCTGTGTTGCCAGTGAATGAGTCGGCTTTAGACATCATTGGCTCTGCTAATGGTTCTTCTTTTGGAGGTGAAGATAGTGGAGCAGTGAAAGGATCATTGGCTGAGGCACAGAAAGGATCACCTTTTGTTGTAGTGAATGGATGACCTTTTGAATCTTCAAATGAATCATTCTTGGGAACATCAAATGGATCATCTTTTAAATTTTGTTTTGAAGCACTAAATTGATCATTTTTTGGAGCATTAAATGGATCATCCTTAGGAGCTTTAAATGGATCGTCTTTTGGAGAATTAAAAGGATCGTCTTTCGGAGAATTAAAAGGATCGTCCTTTGAAGTAACAAAAGGATCGTCAATTGGAGCAACAAATGGGTCGTCCTTTGGACCAAATGGATCACTCTTTGCAGAACTAAATGGATCATCCTTTGGAGCAACAAATGAATCGTCCTTTGGAGCAATAAATGGATCGTCCTTTGGAGCAACAAATGGATCGTCCTTTGGGGCACTAAATGGATCGTCCTTTGGAGCAACAAATGGATCGTCCTTTGGAGCAACAAATGGATCGTCCTTCTGGGCAATAAATGGATCCTCTTTTGAAGCATTAAATGGATCGTCCTTTGGAGCAATGAATGGATCCTCTTTTGGAGCATTGAATGGATCGTCTTTTGGAGCATTGAATGGATCTTCTTTTGGTGCATTGAATGGATCTTCTTTTGGAGCATTAAATGGATCCTCCTTTGGAGCAACAAATGGATCCCCATTGGAAGAACTGAAGGGATCTGGTTTATCTTTAAGGTCAGTGAATGGATCCTCTTTGTCTTTTGGGGCTTTGAATGGATCCTCATCAGTTTTTTCAGCAACAAATGGATCTTCGGGTTTTACTGGAGCACCCCAAGGATCAGTACTAGGTTCTTTTGAAGCTCCCCAAGGATCTGTTTTCACCTCCTCTTCTTTCTCCCCGCCCCATGCATCACTTTTTAACTTATCAGCCTTTGCGGCATCCTCCCATTTAAGCTCATCTTCGCTCATCTTGGCCTAAAAGAGGAAAAACACACAGGCGGGTGATCAGATGGTATTCTACTGTTTTGGTGATAAATAAACATAATTCAATTCTGGTGAAATATTATAATTTTAAATTTACAAAACTTCCCAGTTGACAGCTCACTGCATACTCTTGTTTTATCTAACTCACCCGTCTCTCAGCCTCCTTCTTCTCTGCTTCTTGTCGAAGCCGCTCCTCTTTGCGGGCAGCGAAAGAAGCAGTCAAGTCAGCCACAGATGGAATGTTGTCTAAGTTAGGAAGCCCTGAAGCTCCAGGAACATAGACAGGTTTGTAGTTGGGGTCCTTGACTTTGTCTGTGGATGATGCTATTAGGAAGAGATAGGAAAGACTTCATCTTGAGATTCACGCATGAATAAAGACCAGAAGAGAAAAAACGTATTAAGCAGTTATGGTTTTAAATTAGAATATCTCACCAGCAGAATCTTTGGATGTCTTTTCTCTGGTCTTCACTGCAAATTCTCTTTCTGCCTTTAGTTTTTCATCATCCTCCATAAGAACAAGAACAACCTTTGCCTTCTCTCTTACGTTCAGGCCCTGAAAAAATACATTATTCTTTACTTTTTCTACATAGTTACTGAGTAGAAATCAGATAGTGGCTATCAAGGTTTTAAAGATCTAATGCAGAAAAGTAGAAAAAATTAAATCACATCTCGCTGCTGCTGTGGTGTAAAGTTCTTTTTTATGAGATGCCTGAACGAAGCTTAAAAAAGAGAACATTATCTAATCTATTTACTCATGGTAAATCTGTTTTAATTACAGTTATAAGGGTATCTAGCCAACAAAGAACCAGTTACTAGTCTGCGTAATTAACCACCTTTAATATCAGCTATATAATTGGCTATATATATATATATATATATATATATATATATATATATATATATATATATATATATATATATATATATATATATATATATATATATATATATATATATATATATATATTTATTTATTTATATTTATAAATTTTAACTAGTTTTTAATATAAGTCTGTATTAAATGTAATTATTAAAGGTAATGATTACAACTGTAAAATGCGTTATTTTTGTTTCACAGCAGAATTGTTGATATTAAGTTTTTTTACTCATACCTTGAGACTGAAAACTATTTCCGAGGTTAACATACCATGATATCATACTACTGTGACTACTGCAAAATGAAAGACGTGTCTAGAAAACCATTAATAACACTTTATAAACCAAAGATCAATGATAAAATTTAATTTTGTATATGAAACCATTATTCACTTAAAATTATTTTATATACAAGACCTACAAAGGTTTAATTTTCTTCAAAGGCCTTTATTGATTGTCGTAATATAGTATAACACCATTGCTTTACACCGGGCTAAGAGGTTATGAACTAAAAGAGTCATAAATAGTTTAGACCCAATAATAGGGACTCCATTAACTGACCAGGCAGGAGGCTAAACCCTTCAGATGAAAACAAGCATCACCTGATCCTTGCCATCCTTTTCCACAAAGCGATACTCTGTTAGAGCTTTGACGATGTAGATGTTCTCTTTCATTTTCAGCATCACGCGATCATCACCTGTCTTCAGGAGGTACTCCAATAGAGTCAGAGACTGGGAAGAAACATTGACCACATTACCAATTAAATAGCAAAAACTTCTATTTTTTAAAAATTTTCCTTTTGACTCTAAGTTCTATAGTCAAACAGCGAGGAAAGGAACAAAACTGATTATTCATATCTAAAAAAGTGAGCAGAAGTAAATAGTAACAGATGGCCACTACTAAGCTCATAAGACTAGACTGCTGAGGAGTTTGCCCCACAGGTTTAGGAATGGAGATTCAAATAAATAAAACACAATAATGGGGACTTAATTTCAGATATAAAAATCAAACCATAAAATGTCAATGGGAAAATGAAAAACCACTGTCTAACCAATGTTGTGTTATAAAAAAGATCTGATCACCGAATATTTTAAATTTCGCTTTAACAATTAAAAATATCTGCACTTTACCTTCACTTTCGTGTGGAATTATTATATTTTTTTTTTTCGCAGTTGTGTTTTACAAAGTAATAGGAATATTTGTTGTTTTTAGTCACATCCTGCTAAAAAGGAATTTTGTCCTATATGCTGCCAACGGGGCATGTTCTCCCTGAGCATGTGTGGGTTCCACATGTTACTCCGGCTTCCTACCACAGTCAACAAACATGACTGTTAAGTTAGTTGGCTTCTCTAAATTGTCCTTAAGTGTGACTGTGTGTGTGTGAATTGTTGTTTGTCCTGTTTGTCTCTGTGTTGCCCTGCAATAGACTGGGGACCTGTCCAGGGTGTATCCCGCCTCTAGCCAGTAGACAGCTGGAGATAGGCACAGGCATCCCTCGTGACCCCGCGTGGGATAAGCATGACAGAAAATGGATTGATGAATGGATGCTGCCATTGTCTGTATGCATACAATGACAATCTACGTAGACCAATATGATTATGAAAATAATTTATACTTCTGTTTTTATCTTGTTTGTTCTTAGAATACTTTCTGTATCATATTACTCACTCACCACAAAGACAATTTTGATAATTACTTTTGTTTCTTTTAATGCAGGAATAGATTTTAAGAAGCAGTTTTTAAGATTAAATACATAAATAAAAATACACCAATGGTAACCAATGGACGCAAAATCTCTAATATAGAAAGGTTCAATGTTGATATTTTTGGTATTAATTTACAAAAAGCTGCAGGAGGAAGTGAAGTAAAACAAACATTAGATTGCAACATTTGAAGTATTAAAGGGTCAAACATGTCATGTAAGAAAGTCATATTCTGTAGTAAGTCTTTAAAATAATATTTAGATAAAATGAAATATATACTTCTACATAAAAAAGTGGTTCCATTTTAATTTACCATTTCTTATCCTCCTCCTCACCTTATGGATGTGTCTCCAGTTCTTGTCATCCTTCAGCCGTTTCCACAGCATTGTCATGATCTCATTGCAAGCCACTGCATTGTAGGTAAGATCAGAGATGTCAGCCATCTGAGAGCTGGATGGACCCCATGGATCATTGGACGTTGCTTCTCTGACCTGCAAAGGAAGCAAAGGGTGAACTTTAAGTGACGCACAGTGAAATACAGTTGTAGCAGCTGAGAAGAAGAACATGAAGGAAATATTAAATCCAAAATGAAAGTCATTATTAATAAATAGTCCTTAAAAATGAAGTAAGATTTCAGCTTGACTTTATTGACTTTCTATTCAGTTTTAGCCTAGTGAGAAATACGACAAAGACTATTTGGCAGTAATGGTTTATGAAACACGTATTGCTAAGATTAAAATAGAGCAGAATAGAACAATAAGGGATGAAAATCAAATGCATTATTACATTAAAATAAACAATATTAAATTTCTGCTTTAACCACATTTTATCATTATATCCAAGCAGATAAAATACACAAATACTTTGAAATAGTTTAGATTGTCCCTTTCTCTTGGAAACTTGCATGTCAGCTGAAGCCACAAAGAATCAGCAAAATCAGTATACAAACATATTTTACCTTAACCTCAGCCTCAGAGTAATTCTGGACCAGGTTCTTCAGCTGTCTTCGAAGCATTGAAGACGTCATGTTGTCCAGTGGAGGTGAAGAATGCAGCCAACTCTGCTTGTTTAAGAGACAGCAAAGTAAGAAAGATGTCCTAAACACACTGCTGGAGAGAACTAAACATCAGTAGGCTACCTTTAATCACACATACAATCTTAACAGCAGATACCTTGCTTTAATTCAGCCTCTGTTGTTGAAGTATTGGGTTTAATGGCTTGCTTTGCAGATTGTAGATCAGTGACCTTTCATCCTGATGTTCTCTCTGCCTCCTGTCTTTACTGGATGGTGTCAGTGAAGAAGAAACCAGATCCAGGTAGCTGCACAGAACCAGCCAACAGTAGAAGGTGCTGAGGCAATATTTGTATCGGCCTTATAATAATAACAGTGAAGCTAAACTAGCTGTGGTGGAGATCTCAGCTTGTTTTCTCCTGCGGCAAACAGATCCTCTAGGTTTGCCAAATGATTAGCTAAGCTAAACGCTAGTTAGCCTGCGTGTTACAATATACTATAAACCTGTAATACTGTGGAACAACATGGAGGTAATGCTGATCTCAAGTGGCTAAATGCAGCCGCGATCATAAGGATATCGCTGAAGAATCTTATTTCAGCACCTCGGAGAGCGACCAAGACGGAGCGCTAGCGTCAATATGGCTAACGGTCAACAGCTGCTGTCAAGTTTGCAGGAATTAGTTTACACATAAAGTAAAACACCAATCATTTCATGTATTTTTGGCCACGAAACTGGCTCTGTTTGGTGTTTACCGTTACAGTGAATGAAAGAGGATCCCCATCCCCCCAAAACAGGCGTATTTAAGGGGAAAAGAAAGCACTGACCAGAGATATTCAGGAATCTTCCAGCAGGCGACACGAAGCAACGGTTTCCGCTTCCGCAGATATCAGGACCTTCCCGTCTCAATCCCCTACCCCCACTTCCACCACCACCACTCTCATTTAGGTATCCTATTATTATTATTATTATTACTGTTTGGGGTTCTTTGACAAACCAGCCTTTTGTGTTCCATGATACTATTTTGTTCTAAACATAAAGTATTGATATATCCTCCTCTAACTCCGTTTAATAGTAAATCGCTCCCTGTATGGCAGGGCGTTGTAGCATATAATCTACTACCTATATCTATTTGCAAACACATTCTTGAATTTCTGCCAACATTTGATATGTAGGATCGACGAAATAGAAAATAGAAAGAAAAAAAAAATATTATTTCGACCAAATTTGCTTTGTTTAATTATGACTTAAGGGTACTATAGGCCTACTGTCAGCATTTTTGGAGGGTGGTGTCCGACAAATACTGTGTGATTGGTCCTAAGCTGAAAGAGGGAGTTACTACACTGATAAAAGCACCAGTGGGAGAGACCTATGAATACTTGTTGAAAAACTTACTGAGTAATTTTCAATATTCAGTGTTGGTTTTCATATATATGTGTGATTCTGTACAGTGTTATGGTTCATGAATGCATTATGGTCTTTTTGTTTGAACAAAGTACATGCAGCTTGATCCCCAAAATCTGTTTAGCTACAAACTCTGTATGTTTACAAATGTAAAAAAGCTACGTTGAATTGAAAATACAGCAAAGCTCACAAGCTTTTTTCCCTTTTGTAGAAAAAAAAATTAGGACTCCCTAAATTTTCTTTTAAGTTAGACCATTTCTAAATGAATTTCTTTTATATTAATATCTTTATCCATGTCCTCAAATGTGCATTGATAAATTAAGCATTATAAAACAGCACAGCAGAAAAGGGACCCAGAGACTGTGTGGGGAATTATTTCCTTTTCCTTAAGTATGAAGCTATAAACATTTATGTAGAATATTTATCAGTTCTCCTCAGTTTAAAATAGAAATAATACTTCAAAATCCCTACCTTATTTGATTTATAATTCAGAGACTATAGGGGTTTATTTATGATTACGGTAACTTTTCATAAATAAGACATTATTTAGTCAAATTATAGAACAAAAAACTGAAAAATTTGATAGAAACCTTTGCATTTTTTGTACAAATGGTGATCATGCTAAACAAGCCATCTTTATGTAGCCTACAAACCACTATAAAAACACCAAATAATTAATAAAGCTTGAAACAGAAAGCATTACTACAAAAAAATTGTACATTAGAGATTGAGGCCTATTAACTGATTAAAGAACAAAGTCAAAGTTACCTAAAGAAGAAAAATAAGAATGAAATTAAAGCCTTCACTGTATTTGGTCAGAGGATAAAAATAAAATATGAACCCAAGATTAGATGCCAAAGGAAAATATGAGAGAATTTTTTAAAAAGGAGTCAAGGATGTAGTGCTTAGATAGCATTTTGATCAGTATATAGAATAGAGCAGAATAGAATAGGATTGAAAATCTATTTATTGTCCCGTCATGGGGAAACTATAGTGGAACAGCAGCAAAGTGACAGACATGGTAGTAAAAGCGTCAAACAATGATTCATGTTAAAAAGGGCATAAAAAACCCAGAAAATTGGGACAAGTGGTTAAAAACAAAAATATATGTTTTTAAAGTTTCTAAAAATACGTAAGAGACATGGAAAATTACTCCTCATTTTAATATCTTGAAAGGTACATATAACAAGCTTGAATAAAATAATGGATATAATTATTGCTATCTAAAATATTGGTTATATTTTACATGAACTGGTGCTTCTTGGTATCAGAGTCCTGTAAGAATTACTTAGGACAAAAACTTTTGAAATTGTTAATATGATCTATTTTTGAAGTATTGATAATAGATTTTTCTTTTTTTTTTTTTTTTATTGAATATATAAGAAAACAATAACAATCTCAAATAACAAGTCAATAACAAATATTTCAATACAAGAAGAAATATCACAACTCCTGCTTTTGAAAAATACAATTAAATGCACAGGCTGGAACAAAGTATAAAATAAAATAAAATAAATAAAAATAAATAAAATAATAATA